TACCATTTTACATTCCTGCCAACGGTGAATAAAGAAGGGTTCCAGTTTCTCCATAACCTCACCAGCATCTGTTGTTTGCTGTTCTGTTAAATTTTGTTATTCTTATTGGGGTGATATGATACTTCATAGTTGTTCTGATTTGCATCTCTCTTAGAGCTAGGTATTTTGAACATATCTTTATGTGTTTGGTTTGCCATCTCAATGTCTTCTTTGGTGAAGTGTCTGTTCATAACCTGTGCCCATTTTTCAACTGGGTTGTTTACCTTTATCTTGTTGTGGTGCGATCTCATTCTTCTTAAGATTAGCCACAATTTGTTGTGACCCACACAATCAAATGCCTTTGCACAGCCAATGAAACACTGCTTTGGTACTCTTTGCTTTCAGCCAAGATCTATCTTATGTTGGCTATGATGGCCCTAGTACCATGGCCTCTTCAAAATAAAGGTTACACATCTGGCATGATGTACTCTGTTGATGTACTGTTCCAGTTAGTTGTTCTTTTGTTTTGTTTTGACTAATCTTTAGCAGGGTCTTGCTTGTGCATGATATTGTTTGATAATTTCTACACTATGTTGGGTTATCATTTTTTTGAATGGGAATAAATATAGAACTCTTACAGTCAGTTGGCCAGGGAGTTGTCCTCCAGATTTCTTGGTATAATCTGGTAAATACGTCCGGGGCAGCATTTGTTTGCTGAAATATGTCAGATGGTATTCCATCAATTCCTGGGACTCTGTTTCTTGCTAATTCCTTTGGTTCAGCTGGAACGTCCTCCTTCATCACAACTGCCTCTTGATCATATGTTGCTTAATGAAATTCTTCTGTGTCAGCCAACTAACTTTGGTAGAGTGACTCTGTGTACTTCCATCTTCTTTTAATGCTTCTGTGTCATTTAACATTCTACCCTCAGCATCCTTAAGTAGTGAAACTCAAGGCTTAAGCTTGTTTTTCTTTAGTTGTTCAGCTTAAGAAATGCCAAGCAAGTTCATCCCTTTTGATTTTCCAGTTCCAGTTCTCTGCATATAACAGGCATAAATTAATGGTAATTATTTATATAAAATATAATGTATATAAATGATTGTATAAAAGATAATGGACATGAATGAAAAACAACATTTATGAATTATTATATAAGACACAGAGTACATATACTAGAAGCAAGCATGGCATCCACTTCCTAAACAGCATGTTTCCAGAAACTCTATGACCTTTGATAAATGTCTATAGTTCTAGAAGGGCTTCCAACCTTTTGTTCATAGGGAGATTATGAGTTGTGCTCGACTCAAAAGCAATCAACAACAATAACATATACTAAGCACTATATATATACATATGTATATGAAAAATTCTATGCAAATAAATATAAAATTTTAAATTAAACAACTACTCTCCTGTTTTTCTGCACACTAAAAAGAACAACAAAAATAAATTTCATCACTTTCTTCTTTGCTCTTGTTGTTAGAAGAGTATGAGAGTTTAGCTGATAAGGGAAAGGCTGACTATGAGAACCAACCAGGCACTCCAAGGGAGTGGAAGCCTACACCGAGAACGATTCAAAACCTTAGAATCCCTATGGTACAACTATATGTTCTGATACCTTGCAGGGGCGCTATGAGTCAGAAATCACGTCAACAGTAATGGGTTTAGTTTTACATGGTGAGAGGGTTCAGAGTAGTATAAACAGTTTGTACACAACTATTAAAGGTTAGCTGTTCAAATCCATACAGAGGCCTGGTAGTCTCATTCTATAAAAATCACAACCAAGAAAATTCTAAGGAATAGTTTCACTCTATATGACAAAAGTTTGCTACCAGCCAGAAGCACCTAGACAGAAATGGTTGTTGGTTTATTTTTAATTCAATGGTGAGTTTTCTATTTAAATATGTGTAATGTACTTTATGGACGTATCTCCATTACTTACGGAGATAATGACCAAATATCACACTATCATGACCATCACCTGGATTCTACAACAGTCACAAGTACATAACTAGAGCTCAATACATGTTGAATAAATGATTTGGTTAACAATCAGCTGTGGGATGGAAGCCTCTTGTGTAAATCAATCAGGACCTGGTGGGTGAGTCTTTGTATTTCAAAGTCAATTGGGCCCCGACTGAGAATCTCCAGCTTTGAGCCTCCTGTGTGAACAAGTTGGATTCTGGAGGATAAGTTGTTTTGATTTAATTGAAAGTTGGGTGTAAACTGTTTGGTTATTTTATATTTCACTGACAATCAAGTGTAAGCTGATTGGTCATTTGGATTTAGTTAATAATCAGCTGTGGGTTGGAAGCTGGAGTTAATTGTGTTTGGGGAGAACATTGTTCTAAGTTGTATAGCACTTGTCTGTCAGTTTGCTGTACTGAGATAATCTGGAGTTGCTGTGATACGGAAAGCTGTGACACTGGTATACCAAATGCCATAAGGGTTATCCCTGGTGGAAAGGGTTTGATAGAGCTCTCAGATTAAGACTAGGAAGCAGGACTGGCATCCACTTCTTAAATAATAGGCCTTTGAAAACCCTATTAACACTAGAGGAATGAGGATAGTTGTAGTAATGTAGTGGTAGAGCCCAGAGTCCAAGAAGAGTCAACTGCTATATAAAATATCTTGTTGGCCTCATGTTAAAAAATGACGTCTTAGTTTTAAAAATCACACACACACACACACACACACACACACACACACACACACTCTCTTATGTAAAAAGAGCTCTGGTGGTTTAGTGGTAAGGAGTTGCACTGCCAAACCAAAAGCATGTGGTTTGAATTCTTCAGGTGCTCTGTGGGGGAAAGAAGGGCAATCTCCTCTCATGAGATTTACTTCCTTTGAAAATCCACTGAAGGGTAAGTAATGAGTTGGTTCCAACTCAATAGTAAAAAATAACATAAGGTTTGAATTTTTAAAAGGTATACACACATATAGATCTTCCTTAACTAAAACATGGCCCACAATCTATTTTCTAGCCCTTTCACAAAGCTTACAAAAGAGGAAAAATTAGGATAAAAGGGCATTTTAAAAAATATATCCAAAAATATCCTCACAATCTTTGACATTCCAGTATCTGATTACAATCCTTCATCTTGATACATTGACATTAATGCTCATAACTTTGGTGCTATTAGCATTTGAAATAAGTGGAAAACATTTTGATAGTTACAATGCTAGGAGATGTAACTGGAACTTAGTGTTTGGTGCCAGGGATGCTATACATTCAATAACTACTGACACCATCACAACCAAGAATTGTCTCATCCAAAAGGACAATAGCTCTGTTAAGAAACATGGAACTGATTGATGATAGCTATGGGATGTAGCAGTGATTGGCCAAGGGATCAAAAAAGCCATTAGTTATTTAGAACTCCCAAGAACACAAGACCAGCACTGGGACCAGGAAGTTCTAGTAACATGCTTTTTGGGGAAATGACAAGGCTGAGGTTGAAACTTCAGCTTTCCATGGATTTCATAAGATAGGAGGTCAATACACAAAATGTATATAAAGGAGTCAGTTGTAGGAACTAGTCCTTATTCCACTGTTTAGAAAATATTATGTTCACCTCTTTCACCTGTGTTGCTGTTCTTGGTATGTGTCATCAAGTCAGAACCTTCCAACAAGTTTATAAAGGCTATAAATCATATAGGAAGGAAATGCCCATCTTTCTCTTATGGAACAGGAGGTAGATTCAAACTGTCTCCCTTTGGTTTGGCAGTACAACTACTCACCATTAGGCCACCAGAGCTCTCTTCATTATCTGTATGAGTCTAGAACTATGAAGAAACTGAGGCAATATCAACTTTCCCCTGACTATGGTTTAATATTTTTAATTACTCTTCAGAAGAAGTAAAAAAAAGAATTTCAATTTTCTTAAAATCAGATAGGCTTACTCTAAACATCTCAAAGAGAAAAGATGTTCTTTGTTCTCCAATTGCTGTTGTTGTTATGTGCCGTCGAGTCGTTTGAGACTCATAGCGACCCTATGTACAACAGCCCTAAACCCTGCTCTATCCTGTGCCAATCTCATTGCCTCTGCCTCTGACACACCCATCCCCATAGAGGGTCTTCCAATCCTGCACTGTCCCTCCACTCTGCCCAGCATGATGTCCCTCTCTAAAGACCTGTCTCTCCTTACAACATGTCCAAAGCATGTCAAGCGAAGCCCCAGAATCCTTGCCTCCAAGGAGCAGCCTATAGTAACACAAAAATCCGTGATTATTAAGAGTTTTTAATCCTTTTCAAAAAGTACTATTATGTAGTAGCACACTTTTCTTTCAAAATTATGATAGAAATCTTTCCTTAGAATTTTATACTAATAATCTTGTATCATAATTATCTTTTTATGACTATGTTCAAGATATTTCAAGATTTACAAAACAATACATTCAATCTTAAAGGGTTAACAACTATGAGAAGGGATGAAGAAAGGAGTAAAATCTAATAAATAGGCAAGCTAGGGGTGAAGGGGAAGGCAGTAAACAATAAAGTTTGATGAGACAATGTAATAAATGAAAATAACCAATTGCAGTTAATGTTATAAAACAGAATGCCTATGAATTATTTGATGAGAAATCAGTATGATTTGTAAAATTTCACTCAAATTAGAAGAAATGGAGAAAAAATCTCACAAAATTATGACATAAATTAATATACTAAGAAAAAGGTGCAGAATCCTATTAAACAAATGATATCTGAATTAAAAATATCAGTATGTAGTTTACAATTAGCTTATCAGCCAAAAGTTGATGGTTCAAAACAAACAAATGGCTCCACAGAAGAAAGTACTAGTATTCTGCAGTTCTAGTCAGACACATATAGAGTTGCCATGAGTCAGAAGAGACCTGATAGCAATGGATATATTTTATTAAATGTATTTTTAGAAAATATGTAATAAACCAGGTTTTAAACCTTGTCATTATAGTGTGATTTAGAATGCCTAAATTTATTAAGTTATCACTCTGGTGTGAAATCATCTCTGGAACTTACAGATATAGTAATAATTTACCTTGTTTCTAATTGTTTTATACTACATTGTAACTGCTGTAAGCGCCTATCTGATGCTTCCTCTCTTCCTTGTGCGGACACCATATCCTCCTCCTAGAAAATAAAGAAACTCAAGGCTTACAATATGTATAGAAAATTCAGTACCCCATTACACAGCAGAAAAAACCCATGAAAAAACAAGGAACACAAACTCATTCACATTAAGGTATACTTCAGAGATACTGTAAGTTTGGCTTCAGGAAACTACAATAAAGCATATATTGCAAAAAAGTGAGTAATATACTTTTTTTTAGTTTCTAAGCACAGGAGATCAGGTCCCCACTGGATCTTTCCTAATTACTTCATTCCCTCCCTCTACCCACCAAACTCTGTGACTTTGTTACTTTTTCCCCTTTACCCCCG